AATTCGCTGTTCTTTTTCAGATTCCTGGAAATAACATTTTTCCCGATTATCCACAGTGGTTTCGGCGGCGAAGCGCTACTCATTTGAGCATTCCAAAAAAAAGGGGGGTAAATAAGTGGGTGGTGAGGCGATTTGAGGGCCGCCACAGTACTCCGAAAAGCCTGTAATTTCATGCCACTGATATCGGTCTGAAAAAGTTCCAAGTTCCGATACCGGTTTCGGGTATCGGAACTTGGCACCTTTTCAAATAAAGCCCAATTAAAGCTGGCAGCCAACAAGAAAATAATTGGTACGATGGAAGAGAGAGAGAGAGAGAGAGAGAGAGAGAGAGAGAAAGAGAGAGAGAGAGAGAGAGAGAGCGAGAGAGAGAGAGAGAGAGAGAGTGGGAGAGAATAGTGAGAGTCTGAGAGGCGAGGGAGAAATTCGAAGTGCGGGACCAAAAAACTTTCGAAAAAATTTTTGGAAAACAACGGATCTGAATACAACTAGGCAAGTGTCGCATTTCCTAAAAGCTCAAACTTGGAACAAAACGGGAGTTTTTCCGGCTTTTCGTCGCGAACAGCTCTTGCAAACAATTATATATTTTATTTGCACAAACTGGTTGTTTAAGCAGAGATAGGACTGGATCGTAATTACGTTGATGTCAAGCTCAGGTTTGTGCGGTTAAAAACAGGAAAAAACCCGGGAAAAATCGGGAGATACCCTATCAAAATTCAATTTTTGCTTGACGCTACACAGCGGCAATTTCTGTTTACGCACCCCCCCGTCCGCATCGTACAAAATCACCCCGAGCCTCCATCTCGCGGTACGGCTTTGACTCGCCCGCCGTTCCGCTCCCGCGCGAGTGCGGCACTTTTTGTGCGCGCAAAAAGTCAGGCGCCTTGGTGCTCCCGTTTCCTCGAGCCTAACTTGTGGCGTTTGTCGCGCGGCTGGGAGGACAAGAAAAATAGATGGCGAGTCGACAGTCGAGAATTTCCGATGGCTTTTTTGAGATCTCTTTGATTCGAGGACCGCATAAAAGGGCGGCGTTGACCGCTTGCAGCTCGAGGGGCGGTTTTGGCGGCCAGTTTGGTGCGGTGTACGTGGTCCTTTACTACGGTAATTCCCATGGAAATATTTATTTAAAGGCGATTCAAATGTTTTATTTGATGCAAAGCTGGACTAACAATTTTTCGGCAGATTTTCGAAGCTAGAAGTTTCCAGGCCACTGGAGCTATTTTTGAAAAATGTCCGCATTTCATTTATTTTATAGTTTTTATGTTTCTTTAAAATTATTTTCTATTGCCTTTCCGCTATTTCCGGAATCACTAATTTTTCCGATTTTTTAGCCGAAAAATGCTCCACCTGGTGATCGGCTCGGCAATTTTTGCCGTTGTAGCGTCGCAGTGCGGAAATGGTAAGTCAAATCAGGCAATTTTTATTGTTAGAGCTTAAAGCTAAAAATACGATTATCAAAAATTCTTTTCAATTGCAGACCCTGTCTGCAAATCTACCCCATCGTGCTACCGTTTGACCTACATGGTGCGCCGCCAAGAGTCGGGGACCGGAAATTCCAGCTTTTACTATGAGTAGGTGAAATTTTCGGGTTTGTGTGGTTAAAAGTATCAAATTACATGATTTTAAAATCTAGTAATCTTTAAGCTAAAACATTTCAGCTGCTGCGACGACGAGAAGGGTGTGAGAGCCATCTGGACCTGCACTGCCCCCACCAAGGATCACCGTGTTGTGATGTGGATCAATGGCGTTGGGGTAAAATAATTTTTGGAAGGATTAGCTTCAAAAAAACTGTAAATTTACCATGTTATGAGCTTGTAGTTTTTACGAAATCAAGCTTAGTTCAACTCCGAACTCCCGGCCATTTCTGACGCCTACGGAAGCGCCAACACTGCCGGACTTGGAAACGTAAGGTTTTTCTGGTTCAAACGTTAGTAAAAATGGTATTTTTGCTAGTTTTCGACCTTCGATAAATTAATAGATACGTAAATAATAATAGATTATATTTGAAACATTTTAGCCGACCACCCCTGTCGAGCTGTTCTGCAGCACCGAAACCGGAAAATGGGTCCTCCGCAACCCTACTAATGACAACTGGCAATTGGTATATTTTTAGGGGAGGGCAAGCTTGCAGTGATTTTTTAGGAACGCATAGAACAAAATTAAGTATATGCTAAAAAACGACAAGTTATCTCGTTCCAGGGCGGCCGCAACTACTACCTCCCCATCAGCGACCTCACCTGCCAGACCGAATATGTCGGAGACAGGAAGCAATAATAATCCTGAATTCCGTACTTTGTAGCATTCAATTTTTGTAAATCCAGCCGAAAAATAAAAACCCGAAATATTTATACGCCCGTGTACAAAAATGAGATCAAGAAAAGCATAAAACTCGCTTAATTATACGGCCGGTAGCCCTCGGCTTTGACCAGCCAAAAGTCATCACTCGCCTTGCCGGATTTCTCGTGGATGAACTGGGAGTGGATGTGGGTGGCGTTGAAGACCTCGACTACTGTAAAAAATTGGAATATTTCTAGAGCTTCCAACTTACGATTAAATCCGTACGAGTCACTGGAAGCGGCGCTGAAAACGGCCGGTTTGAAGTCGGCCTCCTTGGTGTGGCTGTGGCAGCCCTGAAAAGAAGAATTTAAATTATTTATTGAATAGATTTATTGAACAGGGCGTTAGATATTATTTAGATATTAGTAAGTTTTTGACCGTATTACTAGCAAAAAAAACGAATAAATTTTCACCCACCGCGCTTCCAGTAACAAAGTGCACGGTCGCCTTCGCGTTCTCAATATAGCTCCCATTTTTGTAGACAGTCGGACTTTCGTCGTAGATTGGGAATAAGCTATAGGTATGGTTTTTAAGGCCTAGTATCAAAATAGTTACCGTTCATAGTAGTGTCTATGGCCGCTGAACACCAAGTCAACGCCGAATTTCCCGAGGAAGGGTTCTAGAGCCGGGAGATTGGCGTCCCCTTTTCGGAGCTAAAATCAGGGTGTACGTTGGAGTTAGTTTTCGGTCTCTAGCAGGCCGGGAGAGACAGAGCGAGAGACCGAGAGAGAGAGGGCGAGAGGGATACAGAAAGAGCGAGAGAGTGTGTGTCTGAAAAACGGACCACGATGTTCTCCGTCTTGTCGCACTTTGCCGAGCAGTACATCGGCCGATGGAGCATGGAGATGAGCCATGGGTTTGACGCCTAAAATCGTAATTATCACGTTGATCAACAAAATGAAAGATACTGGATGCTTTAATGTATAGTTAGCTTAAAAAATGACAATATGCGAATCTGAAAAGCTACTACGAACTAAAATATGGCCTATGGCACGCTAGCAGCGATTTTTGGAGATACGCTCTCGGTCGACCCACCTGATCCATATCCTTCTCCAGCCACTGCACCATCTCATATGCCTCACGATACATTTGAAAATTATGATATTCCGACGAGAATCCGGTGATGTGAGCTGCGCCCAGGTCCAAACTAAAGACATCGATAAATTTGAGCTACCTCCCGCACCTTCAGGGACGTAGCGTAAGGTAGACCTCCCCCCGAAATCGGCCGGGGCCCAAAAATTTCATAAGGGGGGACCCTTATGATTTTTATTTTCTCAAAAATGTTGCTGCCTGCGGCGCGATTTTTTCACGTTTTTGCTGCTATTTGTAGATCTATATAGCCTTTTTTCCAAAATTTTTCGCCTGCGGCGCTGTTTTTTCGTTAATTTTTTGAGTTTTTTCTGACTACGCCCCTGCGCACCTTACCTCCAATATTGATTATCTTTAACTGCCTGGCCGGCATCCGGCATCGTGAACCGATTGATGTAGTGGTTGAAATTCTAAGCCAACAATAATTATCGAGGTCGAAGTTAGTATTATTACCTGATTTTGCTCGTGGTTTCCAGCCAGAACCATGAACGGGATATGGCTGATCATTCTTGCATATCCTTCATGAAGTCGTCGCCAGTCTCAAAAAAAATTATGTTATGCTTTTTGCGTAACTTTCACTTTACAATTGAGCTCTGAAAGCCAGAAAGTGGGCTTAAACAAACTATAAAGCTGTAATCGAATCACCTTTCCATCATTTGAGTCCAAATCGTAGGAGATGTCGCCTGAAAATGTGAGTTTTTCTTTTTAATTGTGCTACATTTGAAACTATTTCAGTATATTTCGTATACTAGAGCAAACCTAAAAAGTGCACCTACCAATAAGAAACATGACATCAAAAGCCCCAGCCCTCGCAAATTCCTTCAACCGATCCATACTCCTCCCATCCTCCCCTTGTGCCAAATCCCCAAATACGGCCGCTCGGAACTGGAAAAAAATATACTCAAAGCATTATCAAATTGCTCTTACCCCATTTTTTTCATGCAACATTGTAAAATTGAAGAGCTGGGACTGCCCTTCCGATGAGCCAACGCGATAGTCTAAATCAAGGGTACGGTTGCGGAGTGTAACGTACAGTAGTGTGCTCCTGGGTCCAATCCCTTCAAAATCACGCGATGTGTGTAGCGGATGGACTGAAATTGAACAATATTTAACATAGATTAAATTTCTATAATTTTACAATTTGATAATTTAATATATTTGAAAATATTAAAAATGACGAATTCCTGACCTTCTGCTTGCCCTGATCTACCCATGCGGTGACGGTAGAGTCGGTATTTTGCTGATCGAGTGAAGCTTTACCGTACCATACGGTAGATTTGGTGTTCGCTTGCTTGTCTAAAGAAAATTTGGGATGAAAAAGAGCATTTTAGTCGATTACGGTCCCCCAAAAAAAGTTCCTCACATTTTTCCTTGGTAATCCAAGTGACGGCCATCGAATTCGGGGCATTTTGGAGGGAGATGTGGATTTGTTCCGGGAGAATACTGGAGCCGCCTACGGTAGAGATAGCACAAAATAAAAGCTGGATTCTGAGGCCGAACATTATCTAAAAAATTATATTGGTTCAAGCGAAAACGGCCGCCTTCGAAAAGGGGTTTTTTGGAAGGAACCAAATTTCAATTTTGACATTCTAGCGTGAAATTTTTTCAATTCAAATTGATGAATTTGCAAAAGACAGCAAAATCGCAAAAAAAAACGAATCTTAGGTTTAAAAAACATGAGAATCATTATCGTATCACCTAAATTCCCAAAAAAGTTTTCGTTTTCATTCAAAAGTGCAAAAAATGTCTGGGCCCCCCCCCCGGTCACCACTTTTAAAACATCCGAAAATCGCGCCAATAATAGCGCCGCAGGCAAAAAATAGCAAAAAAAGCGTTCGCTACACTCAAATTCGTGTGAAAACAAGGCAGAAAACGCGCCGCAGGCGAAACTTTTTTATGAACAATTGATTCACCAACGAAAAACCAGCGGCAGGCAAAAAATTTTGAAAAATAGGCTTCATATAAGTAAAAACTGTTTGAAAAACAGTAATAAACAGCGCCGCAGGCAGAAAAATTTTTGTAACTAAAAATCATAAGGGTCCCCCCTTATGAATTTTTCAGACCTTGACCGATTTCGGGGGGCAGGGCCCCCTGGGCCCCCTCCTACGGGCCTGGCTGTTGCCCTCAAAGACGCCCCCGGATACCGTAAGACCAAGCGCTATCAGCCCAAATAAAATTCGGCAATCTTGAAAACACGCCGGTCCACACCTCTCCACCCACACATTTTATAGCCCGCCCCATTATCTATTCAATTCATCTGTAGGCAGTAAACCCTTCTGCGTCATTTCCTCCCCAAAATCTGAAGGTAATGGGCATTGCGTTTGTTATCACTGTAAATTTGAAGTTTCCGTTTGTCTGTCCGCGTCGCGGGTTGACCTGAAAATGGACGGATGCCGACTTTTCCGAGACAAACGTCCCGAATACGGGGAGACAGTTTCTCTGGGGGCCGTCTGGCTGTTGCACTCTGGTAGACCAGAAAAACGGCACGAATTTGCAGGATCTTAGATAAACGGGCACATTTTAGGCGGCCGAGAGTTGGTCTCGTTGGCCTCTGGGAGTAGTTTGTGACGGCCGAGTTGCGGCTTTGGGGTTAAAAGTTTAAAAACCCAATTGGCATGACTCTAGCGCTCGTTTAAATGTGGAAAATTTAGGCTTGAAATTCCAAAACGAAATTCACAGCTTTGTTTCTGGAAAAGCAACTTTTGATAGGTTCATACAATACTTTGTCGCTTGTATTTTGGCAGAGTGACACGATTGGCTGGGAATCGGGAGCGACCGTACACTCCTATGTTCATCTTTATTTTTTGTCTTTATTGGATAGGGCATTGGATACGTTATTGAAGATTTTTACGACAAAGAATTAAATAGTAAACTAGCTTAAGCCTTGAAATTTCTGAGGGTTTTTAATTTTTTAGTTTTTAAGGTAGACCAGGGTTGAAAAGCCGCTTCGCGACTTTTCAACCCTGGCCCTGTCTAACCTCTTAATATTGTCCACTCTGCATGCGTCTTATGAATTTCGATGAGAAAAAGTGAAAAACTTCACTCTTTCGCTCATATATCGACTCCCGCCATTTCCGGGGAATGCTAATTATTTCTTAACAAAGAGGGTCTCCTATTTTTCAACAAAAACTTGATTTTAATTTCGAAAATAGCATATTTTGCGCAATCTGATAAGCGTGCAGTCATCTTGAGGCAATTACGCACCTAATGACCTATCAAATGTAGCTTATGGCCCTTCCCCTCTTGAGATATCCCCCGGACAACCTGACGGAAGTTGCATGCAGATGCACACACACACACAGTTACTATTTTTTTTATATATAGTAGGATAGATAATCGGAATATGTACGAACAGAATTGTTTTAGTTTGAGAAACGTAATGTAAAAAAGCGGTCAGAAGAAAACGTAGATTGTAGATTGACCATTGTAGATTTCCCCGACCGCAATTTCTAAAATACCTATCTTTAACCTAATTTTTATACATTTAATGCTAGGGAAGACAAAATATAACAATTTATTCAATTCTTCGGCCGATAGCCCGGTGTTTTCGTGAGCCACCACTCGTCGTGCTCGTGGTCCGAGGCGGCGTTGATGAATTGAGAGAAAATTTCCGTCGCACTATTGATTTCGATCACTGTCAAAAAATCGATTTTTTTTAGGCTTTGACTTACAACTAAAGCCATAGCGCTCGCTGTGGTAGGCGCTGTAGGGGAGCGGCTTGTAGTCGACGTCGTCGATGTGGGTGTGGCAGCCCTGTGATTTGTAGTTTTCAATAAATAATTATGTAAAAAATGGTACAAGAATGTTGTTAAAATAGCTAAAACTTGCAGCGCTTCCGGTCACAAAATGAATCGTCGCCTTAGCATCTTTAATGTGGGCGGCATCTTTATAAACTGTAGCCCGGTCGTTGTAGATTGGGAAAAGCCTGAATTTTCATATGCATATTTTAAACTTTAAAGTAAACTTAATAAAGTAGCTATTAATTTACATAAATACAAGTTGTTAGAAGGAAATCCACAGATTTGGTACCTCTCGTAGTAATGTTTATGCCCGGCGAAGAGCATATCAACACCATATTCGCCCAAAATCGGCTCGATGGCAGGCAACTTGTTGGCTCCCTTTTTCAGCTGTAAAATCCTACTATATATAAAAAAATCCTACTATATATAAAAAAATAGTGTTTGTGTGTGTGTGTGTGTGTGTGACACTTTGCATGCAACTTTCTCAAGCGTGTCCGGAGGATATCTCGATAGGGGAAGGGTTTTAAGCTACGTATGATATGTCTTTAGGCGCGTAACGGTCTGAAGATCACTGCACGCATATCAGATTTTTCAAAATCTTTCGTTTTCGACATTAAATTCAAGTTTTTATGATCGTTTTTGGTCGCCTTCTTTGCTAGGGGACAATTAGCATGATCCGGAAGTGACGGTAGCCTATATAATGGCAGAGAGAGAACGTTTTTCCTTTTTTGTCATTGGAATTCAGGAAAATTATGCAGAGTGTAGAATATCATGGGGCTAAACGGGGCCAGGGTTGAAAAGTCGCGAAGCGGCTTTTCAACCCTGGTTGGAATTTAATTAAGTAAATAATGTGTACGCTACCACAGTATTTTCAAAGGCATCACAACGAGCAGAACAATACATTGGGCGATGGATCATGGCGATGATCCAGGGTTGTTTAGTCTAAAAAAAATAGATATCTCTCTCTCTCGCTCTCTCTCAATCTCTCTCTCACTCTCTTGCAAAAACGAACCTTGGCCAAATCGGCCTTCAACCATTCGACCATCTTCTGGGCTTGATCGTACATGTTATAATTGTGATATTCCGAGCTGAGCCCGACAAAATGGACCGGGCCGAGGTCAAAACTTAAAGCTTGAGTTAGGGCTCATTTACGTTTTAGCATTTGCTCAAACCACGGTTCAGTAAAAGTCTATTTCTTTAAAGGTAGGTTTAACCTACCTCCAAAACTGATTGTCATTCACCTTCCCATTGCTTGGCATCGTAAATCGATTGATGTAATGATTGAAGTTCTAAATCCTATTTTACATCAATTTTTCAGTATTAGTTAGTTTTAGTCTTACCTGGCTTTGCTCATGATTCCCGGCCAATGTCATGTAGGGAATATGCGAGGCAACGTCCTCAAATTCCTTGAAGAAATAGTCGCCGATCTAACTGAAAACCTCGGGCATTCGTTACAGTATTTACCCATCCATCCGCTTGATCCATGTCGTAAGCAATATCGCCTTAAATTCAGCTTAATTCGGAGTTCTAATGAGACAAACCAATATGGAACATGATATTGTATCGTCCCGTAAAGGAATAATACCTCAACGGCTCCAAGCTCAAGCCTTTTTGGCCCTGGGCCAGGTCGCCAAAGATGGCCGCTCGGACCTAAAAACCGAATATAAAAGAATATATCTTATAGAACCTAATCTTTATTAATACCTGCCTGGCAACAGCTAGGTAATACCTAGTAGGTATCATCAAAAAGGCCTTCTTACCGGCTTTTTCGGGTCGATCATCGTAAAGTTGAACGGCTTCGACATGCCCTCATCAGATCCAACTTTGTAAACTAAAGAAACGAAATGCGATAAAGGAAAACATACTACTTTACTTTAAATAATAATTAGAAAAATCTGCATTCACTATTACAAACTTACAATAACGAACTCCGGGCTCGAGGCCGGTGAGCGTCACGCGATGAGTGTGTCGAATTGACTAAGACATTTTAATAGTTGAAATACATCTCTTATTTTAATAAATGAAGCTTTTTTACGTTTCTTCCGCCATGGTCGTTCCACGTTGTCACCGTCGATTTGTCATTTTTTAGGTTAAAGTTGTTCGCGATCGCACTATAGGCCACGTACGATTTTGTCTTGGCATTCGCATCTAAAAGAAGCTTTTGTTCAAGGATTTCTTGCATTTTTGTTGTTCTCAGCTGTTTTAGATGTAACAAAAAACAGTAAAACTTCACCAACTAACATGGCGTATGCGTTATCCAGGTGATTGCCATCGAGTTCGGATCATTTTGCAGGGATATGTGAACCTGTTCCGGGCTATTTGCACATAGAAATTGGAAGGTGACAAAGAACCAAATTGACCCCAAATTCCAGCGCATAAGCTTAAAGGGAAATTGAAATAGGAAAGGTTTTCATTGAGGGCAATCGAAGCTTCTATCTGAAGAAAAATCAATAAAACCGGCGTGCCGGGTCACGTTTAAAATTCTAAAAGGATGCAACGATTCACAAGAAAATAAAACAAAAGCAGGCGATTGCCTCGCTCCGCCGGCCTTTCTCCCCGATCGTCCAAAATCACGCAATTCTTATCTTGCGCTCTGCACAACTTCGAAGAATTGATTTATATGGAAGAAGAAGCGATAACTTTGATTACGTAGGTGTGCGAGCGGTCCCAGATGCGATTTTGTTTCTTTGAGCTTTGATGGTCGCTTCTCTACGTTGAAAAGCCGTTCTTTTCTTCTTAGGCATCGGCAACACACAATCTACAATCCCATATCTCCCTATTCGAAGGTTCGGAAGTGTGATTTTCGATGCGATAGTGACTAGAAGCGAGGTAAAACTGAAAGATCAACCTTTATCGACGTGCCAACAACGAAGAAAAACAATACACGTATATCCTAAACTATTCGGAGGCGGTGATCGGGGTCATCGTCTTGACGGCGAAGAGGTCGAGCCGTACCTCGAGCAGCGCCTTGAAGCAAGCGATAGAAGTTGTGTAGCCACCCGCACGACGATGAGCAGACGGCTCGCGGATGAACTAAAAACAGTTTTTAACGTAAAAAATTAAACTACCAACCCGTAAATATCCTCCGGACTCGATCTCGTTGATGGTAAGCATCGGCGGGCCGTTGGTGTCGATGACCATGGGTCTGTGGAAATACGGACGCCCGGCAATCCGATGAGCAGCAAAAGTAAGCCCATCATTGCGCTTGCGCTCTAAAAACCGTTGAAAATATTTTAAAGATATTGTACCTTTCTTCAGCTTCTTCTTGCGCTCCATCTCCTCCTTTTGCTCGAGGTCCTGTTCGATTTGCCTAAAAAATCGTAAATACGCTTGAAATTGAATTTTACCGCTTTCTCTCCCGATCCAAAATCATTTCCGCAGCGACGTTCGATTCCCGGAGCTCTTTCATAATCTCCTTCGTATCCTTGACGTTCAGCTTCTCGTTTTGATCTTTCTACAAACAAAAGTTAACTTTTAAAGATGATTCTACCATCTCCTCTTCAGTGCGCAAATTGTGCAACCGTGACTTCATCTTTTGCTCGTCGGCAATTTGCTCCTGGATCCAAATCTCGTCGGAGTTGAACTTTTTGCGGTTTTTCTCGATTTGTTCGGCGTTTTTCTCCTGGTAAAAACAATAGAAAGCCAAAACAAAGCGCTTACCTGATATTCTCGCACTTCGCGCTCAGTCTCTTCGATATTCTCCTCGTAGAGCAAGTTCATCACCAGAACTTCTACATGCTCGAGGTAGTCGTTGAAATCGCGGAGAGTCGGAAAATCCTCTTCTTTCATGTTGAAAACCTAAACAAACCCGCTATTACGGACGCCATGTGTTAAACAGACTTTTTTAAACCGTCGGCGAATGAAATTCTCCTTCTCGACCATGGGATCCTCAAAAACTTGCTCCCAGAAATTATTTCTTCTGAAAAAAAACACACTTTGTTATCAGAGTGCTGCGGTGCTTACTTTAACATTTTCCCACAAATTTCACATGGGGCTGCATTGCGGGCGAAAAGGTTGTCAACACAAGTTCTACCTGAAGAAAAATAGAACCCAACGTTAAAACGTACATAGTGGGTGCCCGCATTCGTTGACTAACATGACTAGACTTTTGTTGGTGTATTCGTTGGATTTACATTTTCGGCACTCCCTCATTTTCGGCTGAAAAACCGAATTCAATAGATTTATTTTCAAATACCTAGTTTTTAGGTCCGAATTGACTTCCACAACGGTCTTCTGATGAGGGTAGAGACTGTAGACTACTGCTTGGCGACGAAGCACTTGTAGATTGCGCTCAGCTTCCTAGAGATATTTTATCATCAGGTCAGAACCTGAAATAAACCTTGTAAAGCTCGGCCTGTTGCTGCGGGTCCGTCACCGAGCTGTTCTTGGCAAAGTGGTCCCTGATTCTGCGGTGGAAGAACGAGCGGTAGTTGGTTTGCGGGAACTAAACAAAAATTGTTTTTGATTACATCAGAAAATACCTTGGTGGCCTCGCGCTGCAGTTGCTTGTAGATCGCTATCCAGTTAGACTTCGGGATCGCAGACATCGGAGGCGAGCAGCCTAAATCTTAGGATAAATCAATTGAAGCAATTTTCTAGAATTGAATAAGTTGTAAAAGCATGAAACTCGACTCCTTTCGAAAGTTTTGTTACGGGGGAAAATCAGAGGCGGGGATCGCAACAGGCGCGCGTGTGATCCGCCTGCAAGTAGTAATGGCGCGTACTCCCCAGGAGTACCTAGGGCGCCATGTTGCAAACTTTGTTAAAACAATTCCGAAAATTTTTGCTTGATTATAAGATTCGAAATTCTAGAAAAACATTCGAACATCTGGTAGCTTTTCAGGATATCTAGGTTAGCATGTTTTTGTTCAAGAGGTCGAAAAACGTAAAAATAAACGCTGACTGCCGCTGATAAAGTTTATAAAATGTTGTGATTTCTATAAAGACTATATAATGTTATCATATTTTGAGCCGGCCAGACAAAACATATATTACAGCTATCCTTTTTGCCTCACTACCCTGCTGGCCGACACTAGCAAGTAAGTGTACTTGAACGTACAAGTAGTGTACAAGAGTATTTGTAAGTATCTTTTTTCTGTTTATTCCCCTGACTGCACTAGAATGTAAAATTCCCAGGGTTTCTAGTTTCCAATTACGAGCCGCTTTCCACGATACCGTATCACCGGCTCTAATCCTATCAACCGGCCCCGCCCCGACCGGCGATCGCCCCCGTGAACAGCCAGCCAGACTACACAAAAAGACGCGCGGATTGGCCTAGTCAGCGCGCTTGAGGGGGCCGGTCGACTAAAGGAAGATCAAGAAACCTTTCGAGGAAAGCAATTTTGCGGAAACTTCAAACGGTCAGGACAAGCAGAGAGGGACCTAATTTACGTACGTGCAATTAGGGCTGCGGGGCGGATTGGGTCGTACTCCGTGCATCAATTGTGTCATGAGAGCCGGATTCAAAAGAAATAGCTGCAAATTACTATAAAACCCTCTAAAAATAAGATTGACTTATGTAAAACTTTTGTAAAGGTGTGTGCATCATTTTATCATTATTTGTCGAGCTTCCGGTATCGTTAAGCTCCTATCTTTGTAGGGGCTGTTTGCAGTAGTTTGTAGATGACATTCTGTTGCCGTACTACCAGAACAACAATTTCAAGCCTTTGCGAAAAGGTATCTTTCCTTACCCAGACCTGAGTGTAGCAAGTGCGCCCGATCCGATTTGACTACGAGAGCGTAGATGACGGTTCGAAAACAATGATTAACAATCGAGAGTGCGAGCAGCTGATGGCGGCAGAAGTCGCACTCAATCGTGATATCTGGAATTCGTGAGCAGTGAAAACTACATCCTCTTGGAGTGCAAACTATCGTACCGTAGCGTAGCCGAACGTTCGACGCCTAGATATTTAATTTTTATGAACTATGAAGATGTTCCATATTTCCCCATCAGATTAATTTGTTCTATGTCGCTGATCTTTGCCCGTCCTCCAACCAGCTAATGCGATCTCCGCTTTTAACCTGCCTAGCTATACGTCCTCGTAGATACCGTACCCCTCCCCCACATAACTAGATGGCTAAATCGCAGTCCGAACCAGCCCACGGATTACCCGAAAAATTTCGGTACCCCGGGTTCGGATCCCTGATCAACCCCGAGGCACCCCCTTGAAACACGCACAAGGAATTTGACTAAAAATCAGCGCGAAACAAGGGGGTTAGCCAAGCCGCCGGGGGGGCGTGTGGAGCTAGTCCCCAAATGGGATTATTTCAGCGCGGCCCTTTGGCGCGTGTCGGGACCGGGCGCCACTCCTGAATTTAGTCTCCGTACAAAGAGCATCCCCATTAGAGAGAGGCTCTTAGACCGGGGGCTGGAAAGATCAGGGCATGCGAAAAGAGACACTTTTCGGACTTCATAAGGAATCTCCGACCATCAGCCTCAGCCACCTGTCCCCGGACCAGCCCGCCGAATCAGCTTTGAATTTCGCGGCGGGGGTGGAGACGATCATTTTTGGGGGGCTCCAGGGGCTGGTCGGCTCTCGATCAGTGTGCTTTGGCCACTGCACCAATGATACGGCTACGGATATTCGGCCCTGGGTTTTTGGTTGGGTTACTGTGTAAGTGTTTATAATGCTTATTAGAAACTGGAGGGTAGCGTTAAGAGAGCGCTGGAGCGTCCTAATGCTACGTTAGCCTCTAATGACGTCTACGCGTCTCTTCTTATTCGGGTTTTGCGGTGTAAATAGGCGTCGCCGTTATATACTGTCAGAAGGTGCGCTTTATTACCAAACGTACGGCTCCAAGTTGTCGCACAGCCTTGATTGCGTCTGCCGGTATCTCGTAGACCTTATCACGACAACTCCGGATACCTTAAGCTCCGATTACTGTACCGTAGAGCGCATTTTTGGCCAGTCGGCGCTGCGTGTTGAAATCAGTGCTCTTTTTGATATCTCAAAACGACTTCATAAGAGGAAGTACAAACCACCTTTCCTAGTTTCTTTCATAAATCTATAACGACCGCAGCTAGTTAGCTCTAGGCAATTTTCAATACGTCAGAAATTTAGAAAGTTTTAAAATATTAAAGCTACCGTTTTAAGGCTTGATCCACCCCACCACCTCAAAAATAGTCATCGACGATGAGAAGGACCTCAAAGACCCCAGCCGGAATAACCCCTATTATGACAAGAAGGAGGGCGTCACCAAGATCAACATCACCGATAACGTAATTGCTTGATAAATTATTTTCATTTTGCTACTCATTTTCAGTCGGCCGTCGAGCTGAAGAAGCACTGGGTGGACCAGGCGTTTTCCGGGCTGATGGCCGCCGTGGTGCAGCAAAAGTAAATTACCACCTTGTTGGGTTAAAATTCATTTTAGAACAACAAAACTGAAGAAGAAATACCAGGAGATTGTGCATAAATGCAGTAAAAAGGTAAGGTAACGGCAGAAATAAAAAGAATCGATATTTTCTAGGCTCACTCAGTAGAAGCGCACGCAAAATGTGTGATGAAGGCCATAAAATTGTTGAAGAATCCGAAGCATCACGATCGAACGAGTAAGAAAGGAAACTCAATTCATTAAAATCTTACAGTAGATTCGATTACGACATGAAATTGCCTTAAGAAGCTCTGGAAAAGGGGCTGGCAAACGATTAAAAATTTGAATAATATTTTTTTAGCCACTACAACGACAACGACTACGTCCACTACTACCACCACCACGATGCCACCCACTACCCCTGCAAAAACGATCCTCCGTAGCCTAAAAATGAGCCGCATGAACGAGTCGACTTCCCGGGAGCGAAAAATCAAATGGCGATCTTCGAAGTCAGCGTCGGGAAGCCGAGAACGACTTCACATGCGTAGACTCAAAATTCGGACCGGAAGCCGTGAGCGCGGGTTCACGAGTGGCGAGCTTCGAAGGATAAAGCTGCCCAGGAGGAGGAAATATTCGAGGAGCTCGAAGAACAAGTCGATCATGGACAGTTACGAGCAGCGGAAGACCGAGTTTGTATCTTATAGCTTTCTTAAGATAGATAACTTTTAGGCGGCACCGGAAGCGAGTTTTGGACCGGCTGAACTCGTTGGAGAAGTTTGGATTGGTAAGTATCCGGGATTCCTTATAATGTTGGCGGTATGATGATTTAACGCAAGTTGTATACCAAGAAAAGGCTTGTATCTAATAGGAACTCCGATTGAAAAATTGCCTTCTAGAAACGCGCCAAAGTTCTGAAGTACAAACGCAGAAGGATGAAGCGTCATATCAAACAGCAGGTAATCAGTAAGGCAGATTTTCATAAAGCTTTAATTTGCTTAATAATATCAAACAGTTTATTTAAAGGCCAGCTACACCCTGCCGCACGAGTTGGACAAGTCCCCCTTTGGTGTGGTGGCCACCCACATTACCAATACCTTACGCAAGCTCAAAGGCGACAACACGGAACCGAGAAGGTCAGCTTTTCCTTGATTTTCCGTAAATTTGCTCTGTTTTAGTTGGCGCTCAATCGTGGCGGATGTCGAGATCAAGGGCAAGGAGATCAAGATGAGGCGAAAAGTTCGTAAACTGATGGCAAAACGGATCGAGGGCTTTAAACAAACCGCCAAACAGGAAAATATCGAACTTGATGATCATCGACCCTTGGCTATGAAGGTATGGGGCAAAAACTTTTAATTCGAGGTCTTGATCACTTTTTTCAGGAGCTTGAACTGGGTGAAGAAGACGAGGAAACAGAAATGATGAAGCTGGCGGAGAATAAGAAGAAAAACATGACTCTTGACGAGCAGCTGGCCCAGGAGCCAGTCAAGTTGATGAGAGAAGGCGAGTGCTGACAGCGGAGTTTAAATGAATTTAATTTTAGCTGTAAAAATCGGGATGACACTGACTGGGCAGAATACAACGGGCTTTGACAAGAAGCCCGTGAAGCTGCTGTCGCCACGCTTTTTGGCGTTGATGCAGGAGGATGAGGAGGAGCGGAAGGAGGAGGTAAAGTGGATTTTAAATTTGCTCAAAAATTGAATTACAGTAAGAAAGCGGGTTACGGTAGAGCGTTTTGTCGTTTGTAGTTGTCGTTAAACGACTACACAATGCTGCATCACTTTTTGAATTCTGCGCGCTCTCTATCTTTTGGAGTTTTAGCATTTTTAGAATTTTGCCGACTAAAAACCTAAAAGCGTGCCGATTTAGCAGCCAAATTCCATGTTTTTGATGATAGCCACATCGCTTCAAAATCCTTATAAAACCTCGAATTCATAACATTAAAAAATACAGGTCAACGTCCTCTCCCCAGCCCTGTTCTCGCTCCACGGTGAGGGCAATGAGGTCGAGCGAAAACTTTCACTCCACCATGCTCTCGGTGGAATGAAAGGGGATGGAAATCAACTCCTGGATATGGTCATCGAAGCCTCAGGAGTCGGAGATTACGTGGATATGATTCGAGTAGCCTCAAACTTCAAAACGTCTACTTTGCTTTAGAAAAACAAGCTCGAAGAGATCCTACAAAAAGAGGAGCCTCAAGGCCCGAACGGGGAGCGGATGTACTGGTCGAAGGAAAACGCCACCAAATATCTGGGAGATCACGAGATCCGGAAAATTGAGACGATTGAAAGGTTGACTACGATGTATACCCCTGAACAGGTGTGTGTTTGTAGTAGCTTAAGGTAGCTCTTTGGTAGATGCACGACATGAAGGAGCAGGGCTTTACGGTGCTCACTCCACGGCAGGCGGATTGGATCTATGGTCCGAGGTCGCCATTTAACGACACGGCAACGTTGGAAAGGATTCAGAATTTATACAGTAGGCCTGACGGATTAGCGCAAGAACGAAAATTTAGTCTCTGACATGATGTCCGAGGGCGTTGATGATGCCATTACCGAGACGATTGGGCGTGTAGCGCGTGGACATTCGAAATATGAGGTTCGTAGCGGTTCGTTCTCTCTCTCACCCTCTCTCTGACTCTCTCGCTCGCTCACTCGCTCTCTCTCACGCTTTCTTTATGTATATTACTTGCAGATCCGCCAGCACGACATTGTCCTCTCCCCAATCGTCAATACAAATTTGATTCTGAATCCCGCAGCCGCTTCTCAACCCATCATTCTATCACCGGCAAGCTATTCCTTAAAAAAAATACCCAGATACCGTCGTCCAAAATGCTGGATTTCCATTTTCAGGTGCTCTTCTCATCCCTCATCCTGTCCCCGGGAATCTTCGGACCCATCGTCCTCTCCCCATGGCTTTTCGTGGCCGGAATTTTGTCGCCTAGGTAAGTGACGCACGATTTTTTTTGAACCGGATTAAAAATCTATGGCAAAAATAAATAAATTCAGGGTGTTCTCGCCGGTCATCCTGACCCCGTTCGGCTTTGTGCCCATCATCCTGACGCCATTCGTGTTCGATCCGATCATTCTTGGGCCCGGGATGTTCAACCCGATCGTGTTGTCACCCCTTCTTGGATCACCATTTATTCTATCACCACAGGTATTGGAGGATACTTTAGCAAAGAGAGACCGAGAGAGAGAGAGAGAGAGAGAGAGAGAGAGAGAGTGAGAGAGAGACACAGCGAGTCAGAGACCGTGAGAGAGACTTAAAATATCGGCCTTACAACTCTATAAAATTTTTTTAGGTCTGCACCCCGGTCATCCTGTCGCCAATTCTCCTCTCCCCATTCATCCTCACCCCCAACGTTATGTCCCCCCTAATTCTGTCTCCATTCCTGCTGAACCCTATCATTTTATCTCCAGCCTACGTTGGTGCCCTTGTTCTCTCTCCTTACGCCCTCTCTCCGGCCATCGCATCCACCGGAGCGGTCTTCTCCGTGGTCGCGTCCCCTAGTATTCTGTCGTAATCGGACAGGCCCAAGGCGACTAATATTTTTATTTTCCGCTGATCTTTTGCTCAACCCATACAAGTATCTGTGATTTTGATGTGCAATAAAGTATTGATTTTTGAGGGGAAGGTATCACTCTTCTCCATTTATTGGTTCGTGTATGCGCAAATTCAGTGCAAATTCACATTATGACTCTCAGAAAAAGGCTTTATTATTTTCCGGACGACACGCCGGAGACACAAAAATTGGATGGCCGAATTCCGGATCGAGAGAGAGCAGTCGTCATTTAGGGCCGAGTAGTCGTCGAGTGGGATTCGGCTGCTAGTGTCTCTTCTTGTGGCGCCACACGCGGCACTTCTTCGCCGGGTTCATCGGCGAGTTCAGCTACAACAATCGATCAGGTTTCTAGACCACGAACCCCTTACCGGGCACTTGTAGGCGCGAGCAAATTCGTTCGAGTTTTTCATCATCTGAAAAAAATCCGATCGCTGTTTCTGAAATCTGCCAACCTCATTGACACGAAAAACGCCGGGCGGGTGCACATTTTCGAGGGCGCCGACTAGACGATCATCGCTGGCCTCGCCACACCAGAACTGGAAAGGATATTAAAGAGGCTGGCCAGGGTGAGACCATGGCTGCAGCGATAAAGTAGAGCTGGTCAGGGGTGTAGCTTTCGAGTCCGGGGAGCCTCTTCTCCTTTTTGCCGTAAACGCGCTGGCGCTCCTTGCGGTAGGCCTGAAAATCGTGTAGCTCCATCTTGATCTCAACTCTCTCTCTCTCTCTCTCTCTCTCTCTCTCTCTCTCGCTCTCTCCTGACCTACCCTAAAGCTCGACCTCAACCCGACATTGTCAGCCACCGTCTCCCCATGGGTCAGGTCTCCGGGTTGCTAAAATGGATTTTTTTTCAGGCGACGCGCTCGCCACCCACTCTGAAGACGTCGTCTAGGGTGTTCAGCGGGAGCGTCTGATTGCCATATTGGTGTTGGATGCATTCGACTTGTTCCTCGAACTGCTCGGCGTCCTCGGCGCCGATGAGCACCGGAGGCGAACGGTCGATACCTAGCAGAAACGTCAGAAATTGATTGATCAATTGGCCCTGCGGTATCGTATCGATTCCATTGGTGCATGAATGATTATTTCTTACTATTCGGGTCGATGGTGTGCCCGAGCTCGTGGCCGATGGTGAACCCGACGCCGCCGTAGATCATCTCCAGGGCGTCGGTGGACGAGTAGAGGGGCGGGGCCAGGAGTCCCCACAGGATCCCTAGAGAAAATTCGCAGGGAATTATGTAAGTATCGCTACGAATTTTATCGTAGGTGTTCAAGGCGTTCACGACAGCATTTGACGAGGCGAGTGAATCCTAAAACATAACTCAAAATTCAAAAACAGGTGTTTTTGCATAGGATCGGGTAAAACTATTTTTTTACTATTTAGAGGCATAGAAACCTTAAACTATTGATTAAAATTGCAAAAACAATTGTTTTTCGGTTAAAATTTCAACTAAAAAATTCTCCGATTTTTTATGGCATTTCCACTTTTCTTTTCCACTTTCCGCTGGCCTTGTTGAACAACTTCCTTGGCACGCTGATGCAACACCCGACCCCACCCCCCGATGATGCAAAAGCACCCAAAAGCATCTTTTTTTGGAGTTCCCTGTCAAATACATTGAATTGCTTGAAGCCAGTCCACCGCTTGCGCTTTTCGCGAAACGTGGCCCAGTCGGGTGCATCGGCCGGGGTATACTGTAACTTCAAGGGTACCAAAGAATCCAATTCACAGCAAACCCCCTCGTAGTACTGCTCCACTCTGCTCCTTGACCACACGACGTGCGCATACCCCACGTGCATCGAGATGTTGTTGATCTGAACTTGACGATGATGAGGCATTGATAAAGCTGACCTTTTCGATGGCCACCTCTTGGGTGGGCGGATCGGCCCACGGACTTTCGTGGATGATCTCACGGAACGCCACGCGCACCTTGTCCATCAGCTTCTGCACCAAAACGGCTAAAAATTTGCCTAAAAGAGCCTGCCGGTATGCTGTCCAAGTCGCGCTTCTTGTAGATGCGCTCCAGTGACAGCGCGTCGGTCCATCGGGGATGTTCAGCTACCATCTTGGGAGATAACCATCACGCTTAGCTGGAACACCTTACCTTTCCGGCGCAATACTTTTTCTTGTCGGTCTTCCTTGACATCCATTTCTGGAAAAAGGTCGTGAAACAGGTTTTTTGTTCACCCCCCGATAACTGTCCAGTACCGCAATTTAGTGCTTTTTAGTATTGCCAGGTTTGCAAGGCCGCTAAATAACCACATTCTAAAGTTCAGCAAATCACAAAAAAATCGAGCTTTAGAATTTTAATGAAAAAGATGTGGCGCACCTTGTAGATCTCCTCGTACTTCTCGCCAATCTCGTGAATCCGGTTGAGCACCAGCTGGGCAATCACCGCTTCGACCGCCTCCTCCGGGTACTCGCCGACCAGCTTGTCGAGCTGAAAATGGGCAATTCCTATTTTCCCCAATATATTTCCTAACGAATTTTTGTTAGGTTGCCCCAACTAGTGTAAATTCCACCAAAACTTCCAGATGCCAACCTGCTCAAAATATTTGTTGTGGGAGATGCGGAGCTTCGCGGGCAGCTCGTGGGCAGGGTATTGAGCCTTGATCCAGGTGGGCAGCATCAGCTATTGAAATGTTAATAAACCCAATCTCTTGGTGGATTCCTACATTCGACAAGGCATCGATTTCGTAATACCAAAATAGCCATGGGCTCTGGTCTGTACGGAGTTGGTTTTCTGCTCGGAGCTGAAAATAAATTGCGTGGTTAAAGATTAGGTCTTAAGCGCGGAGTAAGCGAAATCTTAGTAAAAGCCAAAAAACATCGCATGCTCGCCTCCTCTAGCTTCTCCAAAAATTTTCCGTAACGCGCCGAGCCTTGCTGGCGTACAGCGGCGCGTTCAGGGGTGTCGGCTTCGCCAAGATCTTCGGCTAGCACTTTCGCGAGCTGAAAACATAGAGTAGGAAAAGAGCGAGAGAGAGCGAGAGAGAGATATGGCGCACCTCCTCGACGAGCAGTTTCTGCGTGATCAGCTGCACCGGCAGCTTCCAGGCGATGCGTCTGAAGTTCGCGACAACCGCTTGGCCCATGACGCCGCCGGCGATGAATTGGAAGAAGGGCGTCGCATCACCACCCGTCAAGCGAATCGTGTCGTTCAGGCTCGGGCGAGGTTTCCCAGAAAATGGGGGGGCCGCCGACAGCCTTCAGGATTTCGCGAAGCTGGCTGGAAATAACCTTATACTTGAATCGGATAGTGCCGTACCCAAATCCAGTTGTCTCTGTGTCCAGACACATTTTGTACGTCTTGTACACCTTCCGGTCAGCTCCGGTAGCCGTTTTGTTCGCGGGGACTCGATCCAGGAAGTCTATAATTGCTTACGGCGTAAAAATGGGGGTTTTCCCACCGGTGATCGTGTTCTTGATACGATCGTCCAAATCGACCGTGGTGCCCGTCATGTAGTCGAATCGCTTGAGCGGTTTGTCCTAACGAAGCAGTAGATCTTCCCGTTAACTTGCAAAAATTAACCTGTAGATACCTCCCGCAGGCAAACTTGAAGAAATCCTGGCACGGCTCGGCGTCAGGCGCGATCATTTTCAGCTGAAAGAGCAGTTGGCAATTTTTTGATTTTTCTTTGTATTAAACTAGAGATGCCTGGAACTTAGTTGTAAGTATTTTTATAATGCTAGAAAAATTAAACCATATAGTAATATCTAAAAACAAAAAAAAAAAACTAAAAACTACAAAAACCATCTAAAAACTTGAGCATTTTTTCAAAAACGACCATTTTTGGTCGAGAAATAGCAATTTGTTTTAGTATGCTTGATAAATATTCTTAGATTTTTACTGTAGGAATAGTAAAACTTATTCTTAGAGATTTAACTATAAAGAAAGCTAAAAAGATTTCTTCTTAAAGTCTTAATAAACTTCAATATTTTCGCTATTTATATGTAAAAATAATGGTCCCAAAGAAGAAATTCTAAAAGCTACAAAATATTTGGCGGTCCTTTTGCATCCCGGCGTGTTACAGTAGCCGTCGGGGCCGATTTTTGGAGGCTTGGGACGGCCGTGACCGGGGGTCGTCTTCCTGACAATTTCCGGATCCGTGATGTTCGGGTCGGATGACTTGACGAGGGGAGATTCTGGAAAATTCCTGGTGTATCCTACTATATATAAAAAATAGTGTTTGTGTGTTTGTGTGTGTGTGCCACTTTGCATTCACTTCCGTCTGTCTGTCCGGAGGATATCTCGATAGAGGATGGCTTTTAGAGTACGTATGATACGTCATTCGGTGCGCAATGGTCTTGGGATGACTGCAAAACTAACGGATTTTACAAAATTATCGATTTTCGACATTAAATTTAAGTATTTTAAAGAACTTCTTGGTTAGGAATAATTAGCATAGACCGGAAGTGGGGACCCGACCATATAAAGCGGCAGAAGAAGTGGTTTTTCATTTTTTGCCATCTGAATTCAGGACAAGTATGCAACGTGTGGGATAAAATGGGGTCAGAAGGGGCCAGGGTTGAAAAGTCGCGAAGCGGCTTTTCAACCCTGGTTAACAGCTATTTTCGGAAGCTAGAAATTAGAATATCCAAAAATACTGACGCTGCATATGCCATAACGTCCACGAAACAATGATGACCAGGAAGAGAAGCGCGATAAACGGAAAGATTGCCGAACGACGATCCAAGAGTCTGAGTTCAAGGATTTGCATGCTGGTTTCGTAACCTACCGCCCGGGCACCATCTTCGAGTGTAAAATCAGATTATATTGACTAGTAAACAGCCACTTAGTCGGATGCAAAAGACTAAGTCGAAGTAATTGTATGCAAATTGCAGAATTATTCAGCGTACTTTCTCAGATTTTGTATGCTCTTTACTGATTCGTAGGTTACATAACTCCAATGCATTTATTACAAGCATAAAATGCACAAAAACAAAAATTATAAATAGTAAAATTGACCGATCTGGAATAGCATTCTGGAATAAATAAACTCGCCTTTCGATTCTTAGGTATCTGCACGTTCTTCACAGCTAGGTTACACCCAAATGTTCCTTGCCCGGCAGCGCGTTTCCTTCTTCGGCAAGGACCCAAAAAGCAGTAAATCTACAAAAAGCGTTCGGCTTACCGGCGCCGTGAACTTGGTCGCGCTCATACGGATAGGCTAAAAATTATACTTCTCCGCCCACCCTGGGTGGGCCCCCTCTAGGGGGGACAGAGGGGGGACTGAAAGGGGGATGGTGGGGGCCCCGGGGACCCGGGGACCCCAATGACCGTGCCCCCTACCCCCCTGAGGCATGAAGGTATGGCATCTACGAGTTCCATTCGCTATACCGAATTTTCACTATACCGAATTTTCGCTATACCGAATTTCGCTATGCCAAATTTTTGGTATAGCGAATTTTCACCTTGCCGAATCTTCGCCATACCAATTTTGATAAGCGGTATGTTCCCAATTTTTTTTACTGTTTTTTTTCCAAATAGATGGGCCTAGAAAGTTAGAGTTAGCCTAGAAGTTTCCAAAAACGCAGGCAGATCGTGGGTCCCGTAGGCGCAGCAGATTTTCTGTTGCACCGCTAAGTCCCAGCCGATCTTAGTTATTAATATTAGTAGAGAATATTAGTAGTAAAGTAGCAAAAATTCGGCATAGCGAAATTCGGTATAGCGAAAATTCGGTAAAGTGAAAATTCGGTATAGCGAAATTCGGCATAGCGAAAATTAGGCATAGTGAAAATTCGGCATAGCGAAAATTCGGCATAGCGAAAATTAGGCATAGTGAAAATTCGGCATAGCGAAATTCGGCATAGCGAAAATTCGGTGGGGGGGTGGGAGGTGGAGGGGGGGGGGGGGGAGGGGAAGAATCCCCGGGTCCCCGGGGCCCCCCACCATCCCCCCTTTCAGTCCCCCCTCTGTCCCCCCTAGGGGGGCCCACCCAGGGTGGGCGGAGAAGTATACTAAAAATTGATGGCCATACAATAGATCGGCATACATTTAGCGTTTCGAAAAATCGAAAAAAACAATTCCAAGGGTCAGTACCTTTTCCACCAGGTACTGAAAAATGACCGTCAGGCGGCAGGTGAAACAGTCGATCTTCAATCCGTATTTTCTCGTTTTTGAATCGTTGTCCTACAAAGTTCATATAATTGAAAGTCAAATTCTTATTATTATACTTCTAATACTTGTGTTACTATTGTTCTATTCTAGAATTCTATTCTACAAAAAATAAAAACACCCGAAACGCACTTTGCTCCCGCACCATCGCATGCACATTTTCAAACTCGTTTTCGATCTAGAAAATCGAGGTTAGAGTGCAGTTCACCCTCCTCCCCCCCCCGCCCCCAGCCGTCACTCAACTTTTGTATCTCGGCTCCCTGTTCATCTACAGGGTAGTAAAGTATACCAAAATGTTTATCTTGCCCTGGCGAGTATTATGGTATATTTTACACACCTGTAGATGAACAGAGAGGCGAGCAGTAGGTGGGTGCCGGCTACG